TTATTATGTTATTTGTGATATAATTATGTATTTTTATCATTGTAATTAATTTGGAATACATATCTTTAAAGTCTGTTGGTTCTTGTCACGTCACCACCACAAATAACCTCAAATCAAAGGAGCAAATTCCGACATTTGAGAGGCATGATTAAGGTAATATTTAGCATTTACTTAATGAATGAACTGAACTACTATGAGAATTATTTCTTCATTTCTCTTTGGTCGATTTGTTGTTAAACTAGACCGGTCTGGTTTCATTTGAATCCAGATCGAATGCTCCGGCATAAATAAATATGAACTGAATGAAGCTCATGTTCAGATTTTTTTTGTAGAGGTGTGAGTGCAGCTCTGATCACTGTGAGTTTAGGTTTGTGATGTTGTCAGATATTGCATTATTCTTAAACTGCTCCAGTTATGAAAAACAATGAAGTGAGTCACCATCAGCTTTACACAGCTTGTGTGTGTGCGATCAGTTTAGTTTATTTTTCCCTTGTTCCACTTATTTAGAACAATGAGCAAATAAACCAGTCCACTGCTCCACTTTGTTTCCACAACCAGTAGGAACCCGTGGCCCTGAAGACATTGGGGACCAATTAAAGAAGCCTCGGGCAAAGGAAGACATCTGTCCATTTTCTTCAACAGATAAAATGATAAAGGTAAAGCAGAATTTAGACTGAAGGGTCAGGGTTCAGGGTCCAGGGAGTCTGCATGTCCTCTGTGTATCTGCACTGAAAAAGAATACCTTGAATGTTTACGTCGATCCCACGTGATCAGAGCGTGGCCACCTGACATGAGATTCCCCCTTTTCTCATGATTCCACTGCTTGTCAAACCAAGATATTTCATTCACATTGGACTGCTTAAAAGATCATGTTGATTCAACATATTATTCATCAGTTACCACGATACCAATTAATGTGTGTAATTTAAAGTAGTTTAATTGTGTTTCAGGGTACCAGATTTTCAACTGTAACTCCAGCTGATTTCTTAATGCTAATATCGTTCAAAGGTATAATGTCATTTTCAAGCAATTTCATTATGTCCTGTGGGTTTCTCTGGTTATTCCGTTTTCCTCCCACAGACCCGGGTCCTGTCGATTGGTGACTCTGGGATTGGCTGTAGCCTATTAAGATCAGTACGCTGACTTGTGATATAATATTAATATTAATGAAATAAATTACCTCATTTTCTTGTATATTTTTGCAGCAGATGGGAACAAAGAAGACATTAGCATTCTGCCAGAGTATCTGACAACATTTCTTATCTCCAGTCCATTTACTCGGTTGTTTTCTCAGCTACGTTCATCAGCAGCTGGAGAACTCTGTCTCTGAGGTCACGTCCTCACGACTGTTTCCTGGTGTGGGGATTTTGCAATCAACAATCACTGATTAATTACACATGGTAGCTTTATTTAAGAGTGTTATTATTTTTGTTCATTAAGATTTGACTGTTTTAGGAAAAAGTTTTAAATGAATAACAAAAGATAAAATTGATTGATGAAAAAACATTACAAATGTGACATTTTAACAAACTTGATTATTATTGTTATCATCATCGTCATTATTATTATTGTTATTGTTATTATTATTGCTATTATTATAAGGCAACTATTTTCTGTCAGTCATCCATCATTTACTCTGTCTTCAGATATTTGTGAATAAAGGTATTGTGGGTTTTGCTATAGAATCAGTTTCCACAACACACAACACACACACACAAAGGAGAGAGAGAGAGAGAGAGAGAGAGAGAGAGAGAGAGAGAGAGAGAGAGAGAGAGAGAGAGAGAAAAGAGGGGGAGAGACAAACAAACAAAAACAGCTCCTCTGGTCCTCTCTCCGGGCTGGGGGGACAGACGAGGCCCTGACATGAGTTAAAACTGTTGAAGTTATTTTCCCTTTTATACACTTTGTTTTCATTTGAGCGAAGCCACAGCAACTCCCAGAAAGGACTCGGCAAGTGTTGCTTGTTCTTTCTGTGTGAGCAACTCTCAGCGTCAGGGGTGGACGTGATATTTCAAACAGCACATCAGTGCGTTTATGTATTTGGGTGCCCGGAAATTTTTTCCAAATAAACACAGCTTGATTCAACCTGGTGTGGCAGACTTATCAAGCGACTAATTCTATAAACAGATGAGGGAATAACCCGGCACCTCATTGGTTGTTGGGCCGAGGGAGGGGGCGCTGGGGGGGGCACGAGGTAGTTTCAGCGCAATGAAATTTTAATTAATGTGGGTGGGCTGAGAACACCACAGACTGTTTTATGATGGACAATTTATTCCCCGGTGCAAAGTCAACATAACACAGCAAACGTACAGCAATTATTAACATTTTTCTGGGGCCCTCATGAGGCTGGAGAGTCAGTCAGTGGAGGAGTGGAGCTCCGGGAGCAGGCTCAGCTTTCCCGGGACACAATCCTGCTCCTCGGCGTCATGACTCTCTACCACGGCCGCCTGCGGCACTCGGAGTGGCATCCTCGGCTCTGAGCCTCTCCGCCCCCCCGCTCTTCTACTTGTACGGCCCGAGAGAGCGGAGGGGTCGTGCCCGCCCGCCTGAGCTTTCGTGCCGACCCGCCAGGAGCCTCCGCAGAAGCCGCCCTACAGCTACATCGCGCTCATCGCCATGGCATCAAAGACGCACCGGAGCAGCGCGCAACGCTCAGCGGCATCTACCAGTTTATCATGGACCGGTTTCCCATTTATTCACGAACACAAGCAGGGTGGCAGAACTCCATCCGCCACAACCTGTCCCTGAATGACTGCTTCATCAAGGTGCCCAGAGAGAAGGGTCGGCCCGGCAAAGGCAGCTACTGGACGCTGACACCAAGTGTCTGGATATGTTTGAGAACGGCAACTACCGCCGGAGGAAGAGGAAGGCAAAAAGCCAGCAGGAGGCTCTGGACTCTAAAGCCGCTGGACCACAAGCGCACAAAGGGCGCGGGGCCATCCAGGGACCCCAAACCCTGTGAAACACCAGACTGGGTCAGAGACAGCGGAGGAACCAGCCAGGCAGGATGCGGAGAGCGTGGAAAAACAACCAGACACAAAACCTGTTCTTGTGGAGTTAACCAAGCGGAAACGCCACAACCGCTCTCCATACAAAGACTCAAAGTGCTTCCCCAACCAAGACACCACAGCATCCATCGGGAGGGAGGCTTGACGCTCCGCAGCCTGAGCCGTGTGCTCACTCCGAGACACGCTCCGCTGTGGATACGGGGAGCGCATCTCCTAGGCGCGTCCCTCCGCTGGGAGCCGGACGAGAAGAAGGTCAGCGTCAGCGTTACAGCGGGAGGGGAGAGAGAGAGGGGTCCGCTGTGCGCCGTCAGCCTGCACGGCAAACACAAACCTGGCTGCAAGCGCGCAGGACAGGCCGAAGGGAAACCTTCCGAGCAGGGATAAATCCAAAGGGTCGAGCATTCTCCTACAAGTTTCAGGTTTCCACATCACACTCGTGTGTGTGTTGCCTCCAGACTGAGGGTGATGTCACAACATTGTGCTGTTCCATGCACATCACAGTGAGACTCGTGTCGTTCAGCACAGACTTTCTGCACGATGAAGCTCAAGCCTCCAACTGAAGTAACAGCAAGCAAAAGACTTTTTTGGAGCAGAGGGGAACTAAACCTCATCATAACATAGACTAACAGTTAACTAATTCATAGCCCCTCTGCCGCTGCAGCAAACACACACAGACACACACACACTTTAACCACTGAGCTAATGACAACAGGTGATTTCAGATGGTATTACTGGCTGAGGCCGAGTTTCTCTTCTGTGTCACTTCTGTGAAAATGTTGAGAGTTTGTTCTGATGTCCAGCTTGGTTACAAGTTACTGGCTATTTGCGCTTTATCTCCTCAATGAACCCGCCAACTGTTTCTAACCTGGGCTCAAACATGTTGGTATCTGGTGACCTCTTCTGGACACATAGAAAACTACTTCACTCTCACAGGTGACACCTCTGTATTACATGACTGTAGTGTACACTGAGTGTTCTGATAATGGCAATACATCATATAAGACAAATCTAATTAATATCTTATCATTAACTTCATACAATAAAGATATTTTACTTTTTACAGTTAGTTATTTTTACTTTAGAGACACCTTTAAATTCTAGTTTCCACACCACTTCAGAACCATTGATCCTCACGCGAATAAAACATCCTGCATTTACATACTCCTCAGAATAAACTGTGATTTCAAACGCCTCCTTCTCTCTGCTTTGAATTATAATAATGAAAACACTTCTACCATAATAGTGGTTAGTATCCAGTGCAGTCTCTTTACCTTTATATATTAACTTAATAGCTGCACTAATTAATTTTCTTAGTTAACAATGGATTAAATGACTGTGTGGCTGTGAAAGTGGACTATTAACACCCAGCTCTGTAGTTCCCATCATCTCTGTGGATTGTTTTAGTGTTGGAGCTATTTACTAGTTTGTTGGTTGTTTTTTCTATTATGTATTCATCTGTTTTGAGTTTGGATTACTTTCATTCATTTTTCTTTTTTGATAATAAATCTATTTTGTTAGTCGTTAGTTTCTTTACATTATTTGCTTATCTATCATAGTTAGTTTGGTTAACTAGTACATTAGATAGGTGCACTAGTTTAGGACCAGCATGCACCTGGGTGAACCAGAGCAGGAGAGGCAGCAGGAAACATGATCCCTTTGTTCCTTGGTTTGCTGCTTGTTTGGATGAATAAGTCAAAATGAAAACACAATGGCTTTGTTTGGACAATATATTCGTTTACCTGCATAAACCACATCCCCCATGGTGCATCAGTGGCCTTTTTGATTTTTAGGTTGGACTTAAATTAGTTTGAAAGACAAATAGCCACTACACAGCTCATTGTTTTGGTTTTGCAGAATGTTATTATATTATTAGCAAGAGCAAGAGATGGATGAAGAGATGGATGAAAGCTCCAGAAAAATCAGGTAAGTGGACATTGAGTCATTTTTTTCTTTTTAATGTTCTAGTTTAGTTAAACAGCAAATGAACTTGTCTTTGTTATGTATGCTGGACAAACTTCAAACTTTTAGAGTGAAAATGTACCACTATTTTATTTTTTGATTTTTTTTACAAACTATACATTTTTCAGTGCTTAAGACAAACCATACAAAACAGACTCAAGACTCATCTGTACAGAGCTGCTCTGGTACTGAAACATGAGTCAGCGCTTGGTTAGAGGAGACTGAAACACTCAACATGTTGAGAACAACAACAACAGAGCAGCTTCACTGTCTTTCAGCATTGTGAACCTACAGTTATTTGACCTCGGTATTGTCAGGAGCCACTGACACGTTATGTGGATCATCTGCTTGCTTTGGAACAACAAGATACTTCACGGCCCAGAGCAGCAAAGATTCAGCCATTTTGAACCGACTGAAATCCTGCAGATTCTGCCCAGACACTTGGTAAGAGTAAGAGAACGGCCGGCCGTTGCTGTGAACAGTGGGAGTTTTTCTCATGACAGTTGCTGCAGTGTGACTGCTGCCCTCCCCAGCACCAGATCCGGCCTGCGTGTCAAAGAGCCAAGATGGAGGTATCCCACTGATCTGAGCTTCCTCCGTCTGCTCCTCCACTAAGGTGCGAAGTGCTTCTGGTGTGGGCTCGCTTCTCTTTCTCTTTGCTTTTCTATATTTTCTCTCAATAGTCTCCTCCATGTCCAAAGTAGAAAGATTCCGTTGTACTCTTTCAGTGCAGTGTTGGACTGCGGCAGGTGACAGGTTTGACGGTCTGGAAACGAGGTCTGGTGGACTCACAGAAGCTGAAGTTGAGGAACCGGCAGTGGCAGGGAGACCAGTGGAGTGTGGCAGCTTCTGGTACGGTGGGAAGTAGCTCTGTTCTCCTTTGCTGTGCTCTGATGTCTGCTGGGATTCCGTCGAGCTGTGGACAGGAAGTTGCGTGCTGGTTAAGACTGCAGCGTGATCAGCCTTGGATTTAGCAGTGGCGGGCAGTGTGTTTGTCTGTGTTGCTTCGGGGGATGCATCAGAGGAAGAGTAGGTGACAGATGGTGGAGGAAAAATGTCCCACGGATTGGCTAAAAGCTCGGTGTCACTGTCAATCATTATGTCCTCATGTAGCATACAGTCCTCTACAGGAAGAGGTGAGTTCTCTCTATCTGCGACGGCTGGCATGGCGATCTGCCACTCTGCATCATCAACAGAAGGCTGTGCGGTCTCTGGAGTTTTGCAGACTTGTGGTAAATCTCTCTGTCTGTCCTCAGAGACAGCAGGACTCCTGCTTGGTGTCCTGCTTCCAGCTCTAGGTGGTGTTTGCAGCTGCTGAGCATCTTCATCTGGGATGAGAAGATACTTTATGGGGACACTGAAACATTTCATGCCCTTATATCTGACCCTGTTGACATCCCAGCTTGTGGCGGTGGATGTGTCTGGGTGGGTCAGCACGGAGGTGGAGGGCTGCGGGCTCACAGGACAGCTGCTGGCTACCATCAGCCTCTCCCGGACGTCCTCCAGCACATCCTGCACATAGTCATGCTGCCACTCCCACAGCAGTTCCGACAGATCAAACCCGCACTGGTTCCTCTGGGAGTCCTGCCACTCCTGGCCCAACATAGCCCTCCATGTCTTACAGATCTTCATTCTGACAGAGGGCATGGTCCTGCAACAAGGGGTGCTGTCTTTAACTGGGCCGGCTGCCATCGTAGCCAGCTCTCCAACTGATAAAAAGAACCTGCATTTATTCTGTTCGCGGGCCATGTGAAACTGCAGCCGGTAGTCCTGGATGCGCACGGTGGTGTTGACCAGGCTGGTGAAACACTCGCGGTCCTCCTGCTCCTGGAGATGCTCCCAGGCTGATGCGGTGAGAATGGCGGGGATCTGGAGCACCCCGTCGGAGAGTAAGAGGAGCCCTATAGGGCCCTCAGAGCTCTGAGCCTGGGACTGAGACATCTGACCCACGCCGATGACATGGGCCTTCAGCCGCCCGCTGCCGCTGTTCCCCTCCTGGCTGCCGTAGCTGAGGATCAGATTCTCGATCCATGGAGACAGCTTGTTTCCAGCAGGTCGAGGCATGTTTGCAGTTTCAAACTGTGTGTCTGCAGTTATGTACCGTGAGGCAAACCTTTACGATGATTAGTGGTTCCTACATCACAACGCCACCATGGGAGCTAGAAACGAAAGATACATCACATATGGACCGTTATAAAATATTACTTTGTTGGCTTAACATGACACATTTTGCTTCAGTCGTTGGAGGAAATTAACAAGCGCGAAAAGTGCATGGACTGGAACATTACTCACATTGCTACTACGGATAGTTTAAAACGTTTACAGTTTTACATTTTTGCTAGCATCGCATAATAATAATTTACACAAGTACTCAGTGTTCTTACCTTTTACCTTTTCTTACCAATTATCCTGCGCAAAACATACAGAGAATTACGTTTAACTGAAGTTATGGCGGCGACAATTGTTTCAAGTTACCGGGTGGTAACAATAGATAGTATGAAGACGAGTGTTCCTTCAAATTAAAAGTGCGAATGTTAATTTGTACTCTTGTACAGACTCGCGTGGTCATTAATATACACGGTGGAAATAAGATTTACTAATTCATATTTACATAATAGTTTTATTGGGCTGATTTATATTACTTAAAAATATACTAACGCTACACTAGTTGGTCAAGAAGGCGTTACCCATACCGGAAGCACTGTTTGTTCTCGGTGGCTTTATGCAAGCAGTTTGTTTTTTGGCCCCGTTCCTCTTCTTTTTCATTCTCACTTCGTACATCCGTTTCGAAATATAAACAATGAAAGTGTGAAGACCTTTTATTCGTCTTATGTTTCCAAAGTAAACCAAACAAACGTTGTTCATATAATCCAACTCATATCTATTTTACAGTAATCTATCAATAATATTGTTACTACACAGGTTGCTCGTAAAGTATTGGAACGTTGTTAACACACGCAGCTTTCCGCCTAGCTGTTGGTGCGTTCAAGTACCAGTTAAATTCTCAAGAGAACATATCAATTATGATGAACGGCGTGACACGTGTTTCAAGTTAATTCATTAATCGGTTGTATTGGTTATTATGGGAGTTTTGATCACTAAATGATGTCTTGTGTGAACATATTTATTTATTGTTTACTTTTATTTGAATGTATAGCCCAAACAAACAAATATAAGATTTAACGTCCGTTCTTGGGTTTCTTGGCCCCTTGGATTTTTTATTCATATTTTTTTACTCAGCTACATTGTAAATGCGGTCTCTACCCCAATGCATTCCCGAGTTAAAATAAAGGTTAAATGAATGAATGAATGAAATAAATATAGGAATATTTTATTTACCACATTTTCTTTGGCCATGAATGTAGCACAGTACGCGTCTTCACGTTCACTTGCAACATTCTCCCCTCGAGTGCTTAATGTTGTCCTAAATGTTGCTCATTAGGTGCAGCCTGTGCCTATAAAAAAAGAAAAGCACATTTCGTAGTGTTAAGGTAAGACTCTTTAAAGAGTAAACTTGAATTGTTAAAGGGAAAAACATGACATAACAACTTTGAACCATTGTAAACATGCAGCGTAGGGCTCTCGCCTATGTTAATGTGATTGAAGCTTTCCCAATTTGCCAGTAATTTTCCCAAGCAAGTTATACTAACATTAGCTTCGTCCCCCAATGCTGACTTGTAAATAACTTTGGCAGCGTCATAAGAACAGTTTTTTTAATCGACATGTCGGTTGTTTTGCTACTAGCCTAGCCTGTACGCACCAGCTTCACCTGCAGCTTCGCCAAATTTAGAATCTGTCAGTTTGAGACGACCGAATTTCATGCACCATTTTGTTTTGGTAACATTTTTTAACATAGGTCGCCACTTCCCACGGTGGTGGGGTTATATTACAGGACTCGAGAGCAGATCCTGGGGGAAGCGAAGACTGTTTCCCTGTCGATACGTGACTGCCCTTTAACCTAACCTTAACCCTAACCAGTCGTGTTGTAGGATTCTTAACCAGACCCCAGTCTTATGTTAACTCTAACCAAGCTACTCCCAAGCCTTAGAATCTAATATCTTCTGTTGTCGTAGAGGACTAGCTAGCTAGACGAGTAGCATACGAACTGACTGTTTAGCTGAAATAAGTTGTTGTCTTCTGTGAAAGCAGAGTTAAAGAAAATCTGATAATTTGTCCTAAATTGTGTTTTATTCTGATCCCAAGTTCGATTAAAAGGAGTTCGGCTTGATGTTCTTTCGTAACAGGAGTGAACTGTACTGTTTGGGCTGTCACAAGCCGAGACATGCCCGATACCAGATCGACTGAGCCTGGTTCCAGGGTTTCAGACCCACAGCATTCGCAGAAACTGCTCAGGGTCCTCCGCACCTTCTGGCAGGAGCAAAGTTTTCACGATGCACTGCTGGTGGTTGATGGAGAGGAGCTTCCTGTCCAGAAAAACATCCTGGCTGCTGCTAGCCCCTACATCAGGTCAGAGAACTGGCAGTGAACATGTGCCCTAGTCAGTCAGCACAGTCAGTCACAGCCCAGATATGATCATGCACTTGTTGTCTTTGGCTGGTCTTTACAGTGTTAAGGCAACATGGGTGTGTCCGCTTTCAAAATGGCACTGGTACTACTGTTAATGATTTTTAAAAGGCTGCAGGTTTCCAGTGTTTCTTTTCATGTCCTGTCATATTCAGCTGTGTTGTTTCCTGTTAGGACCAAGCTGAACTACAATCCTCCAAAGGAAGATGGGTCTACATACAAAATTGAGCTGCAAGGGGTTTCCATGGCGATCATGAAACAGATCCTGGACTACATCTTCAGTGGTGAAGTGAGTGTGGAGGCTTTCAAAAGCAAAGATCGACATGGTTAGGTTTTAGGTGTGGTAAGCACACTTCTATGTCTCACTTCCTGCATGTGCACACACAGATCACTTTGAGTGAAGAGACCATCCAGGACATGGTACAGGCGTCTGACCTGCTCCTCATGACCGACCTCAAGTCCCTGTGCTGTCAGTTCTTAGAGAGCTGCATCACTGCAGAGAATTGCATCGGCATCCGCCTCTTCTCTCTGCACTACTGCCTTTACCATGTCCATTACGCTGCTACCGAGTTCCTGCAGACACATTTCCGTGATGTGGCGATCAGTGAGGAGTTCAGGGAGCTGCCCCGGGACCGGCTCTGTGAGGTGCTTGCCATGGAAAAGCTGAACGTGGGCAATGAAAAGCACGTGCTGGAGGCGGTGGTGCGATGGTTCGCACATGACCCAGAGGATCGCAGGGTGGGTAATGCTCACTTCAGGTTCAGTGAGAGGTTATGAAAAATGTAGACAGGTAACTTTTGCTGTCAAACATAATATCAAGGGAGAATCATCATCATCTTTAAAGCGAACAGCAAAAATTATATGCACATATTATATTCTGCAAATGGTGAAAAAATAACAATTTAATTTGGAAGATAAACCCTAAATGTAAGGATTCTATTATTATACAAAGCAGGGTCTTATTGTTTACGGATGAGAAGCCAGTTTGACCAATTTTCATCAAAGACATCAATTTGAGTTCTTAGTTTAAATGTAATCCTCTCAATAGTATATAGTGTATGCTAGGTTAATCCACTAATTTCTGGTTGCTTGTTTTAAGACATTTTCTGGTTAAATGTCACCGTCAACACTCTCAACAGGTAGTCATTCCACTTTGCACAGTGAAGCTCTTCTAGATCACCAAGGCTCATTATTTTCAATAAAAACTGTCCAGGAGGACACTGTGGACATTTTTCCAAAATGGAGCCACAGATCTACATCTCCAGAAAATGTGGCAGTGATTTGTCACTGGACCTCCAGCAGACAGGCCGAGTAGGTTAGTGAGTCTTGAGGATTGTTGAAGTAAAGTTAATAAAATGTAGATCGGGATATTGGTTTGTTAACCAAGTCAACTAATTGGTTGATAAGATTTTCTGAACTATAAGGTTCATATAATTTTATCCGTTTTTTTTATGTATTACGATGTCTGTGACATTGCAACAGAAGTCAAATTTGCTTCGGCCTTTAATAAACACCAGATTATAGGAGGTATTTATGGAGAACCTTCTCTAGAGCCACACAGTGGTACAAATCATATTAACGTCATCACAGATAACTAGTTTGCAAAGTGCTGTTGAGTTGTAGAAATGTGAATGTTCTTTCATGCAGTGGTTTCCATCAATTCTTGCACAGTATGAAAATCCTCAAGTTAATATATAATATAGAATATTGCGATATTTCCCACCTTATGCAATAGTGTTTTTAAAAGTTGACCTTTTTGTGTTTTTGCTCTGCTGCCAAGTCCGACCCTCATTTCACTGTTTTGCTTACTGTACATTGTACCTGTGACAAATAAAACTGGACTGCACTGCATCAAGATATTCAATTTTGGATATCACCCAAGCCCATAAGGCACATTATCAGGATGAGGTGAAGCAGTGCAAACTTCTCATATCCATCTGCCCATTAAACTGCTCTAATACACAATGATAACGAAACACTGACAATAATTAAGGTGGAATTGATGACCACTTTGATGAACAACACAACAGTCTGTGTATGGATTTTTCTGAGGATGAAAATGAATGGAATCTAAGGGCTGCCTGGAAAACACTGGAGAAACCTTTTTTAAAATCCTTAAGAATTGTTTAAGATAGTTCACCATTGAATTGTTTTTTTGTAAGTTGTGCATCTTTTTGAGGGCTTCCTCTACATCTCCTGTTTTATTTGTAGTGTATCTCCCCTCATGAATTCTGTCAGAGCACACAGAAACGTTACGTTAACGTTCAGAAATAACACTCATTCTCTTATGTTATTGCAAAATCAGAAATTAATTAATCATTTTAATAATGATTTTTCTACACACATTGTATTGTTAAAGCTACACTAATCAATATTTTTATATTAACAAAGGATTGACTGTGAGTGATTTGAAAGGTGTCTCTTACAACGTTGCTAACCCTAACACTAATCCTAACCCTTACTGTTTGCAGGTTTAATGTTTTGTTTCACTGTCACTGCTTTTGTCAGCCATGTTTCTATCAGGCGGCTGTTTTCAGAGGAAAACTCACCCTCCTCCACCTGCCCAGCAAACCAGACAAAGTCAGCACCAAGATGGTGAACATAGTGGAACATTTAGCTGCTGCAGAACTGCAGAGTGAATATTATATATACAGTATAGTTTCTAAATAGAGAAACACAACTCCAAATGAATGTGAACGTGTCTGTGTCTGCTGGATATGTAAATGGGAAACTTGTTCACTAAACTTTATAAGGTGATTATATGTCAGTGTTGTGTTTATGGCTTGTTTCTGTGCTCCCAAAAAGTGAATGAACATATCCATGTTTTTAGGTTCACATGAAGGAAGTGATGTCTGCTGTATGGCTGCAGGGCCTGGACACGAGCTACCTGAGAGAGCAGGTAGAGAACCTGTGACGTGCTCTTCAGATTTACATGTAGTCTTGATAGTGTTATCAATAGTGTAAGAATGATGAAGTGAAGTCCATTCAAAGTGCTTCATAACGTTTGACATTAGATGATGTTTTTGTGGCAAAAACTCTCCTTGTCTAACTCAGTAGCTATGGATTGTGTTGCATGGTATCCCATCAGGCCATGGGGGAGCCACTGATGAGGGAGGTGATCAGAGAGTACTGCCAGCCCATGCTGGGGGACAGTCAGTTGCAGGGTGAGGCTCTGCTTGCCGCCTTCAAACCCCGAGGTTACTCTGAGTGTATTGTTATTGCCGGAGGAGAGGATCGCAAGTGAGTCTTTATTCTTATCATTTATATTTCTGTTTATTCTGTTATTTATTTGTCACCAACATTACTATGACTCCTTCACTACCTTCAAAAAAACTCTGGTGGTGACAAAAGTTTTGAGGAAAACAATAAGCAGTTCAAATTAAAAAAAAAAATTTTTGGCATGAAAATATGTAAATAAAACACATTGAGTATCAGCAGGTTCAATGCAGAACTATCAGAACATGCCTTCAAAGAAAACAACTTGAACTGTAGTCACTGTAGTTAGTTGTGAATGTGTGAATAGCTCCAAGACAGTGTTGAAAATTTTAGAGTGAAATGTGGTCACGACCAGGAGAAGAGGTTAAGTTTGTGCTGAGTTAAGACAGTCGACTCACATCCTGTCGTCTGATGGTTTTTATCCCATACAGAAGCAGGAAGCCAACCGCTGTGACGCGCTGCATGTGTCCGCTCTATGACACCAACAGACAGGCCTGGATCGACCTGCAGCCGATGAGTCTTGCTCGCCTTGGCCACGGGGTGGTCGCTGCCGGTGGGTGCGGTGCAGGAAGTTCATGTGACTCATGTCATGAATTAGATAGAACTTAATCAGAATTTCGCTTTAACAGAACAGTGAAAACAGCAGTTCCAGCTTATATGTAAGTCAGTAATTATACTGTGTTTCCCATCCGTTAGAGGGTTTTCTGTTTGTGATGGGCGGAGCAGATGAACTCAACACAGTCCTGGACAGTGGAGAGAAATATGACCCAGACTCCAACACCTGGAGCTCCATACCCCCAATGCTTCAGGTACACTCACCTCTTTCTGTAGCCACATGTGTCCTGAGGTTTCAGCAGCAAGAATTATTCCTCTATTAGAAGCATATAAACAGCTGGTATTGATCTGTGTATTAAATATCTTTCTGTCAATTTCTACCCTTTTCTCACATTTTACTATAAAGTTAAACCCCTCAGTTCAAATAGACACTGAAAAGGTTTTACTAACGATCATTTCTGCTCTTTATGACTTGTAAGGAGAATGTAATTACCAGTTCACAAGAAATGCACTGCTGCAGCCATGTTACAGTTTACACATGCTCCCTGGCTCTTTTTAGAGTTTTACTTTATGACCACTAGATGTCAGCAGCGCTGCAATGCAAGTTTAGTTTCAACAGGACAGTACAGGAAGATTTGAAAACCAACTCCCAGAGAGAAAAGTGGTGTAATTCACATTATGTGTTGACTTTATATTGTTGGATAATGTAAACAATAGTAATGTAGGAAAATCAGATTTCCATATATTATTCATCAATCAGCTATTCCAGCTTATCCTGTCAGAGGGTTGTGTGGGGGCTGATCCTGGGGAAGAGGCAGAGTACTCCGTGGGCAGGTCGACAGTCAGTCACAGGGCTCACACAGAGACACACAACCATTCATGACATTCACACCTGTTAGAGTCGTGCATTGACCCAACCTGCCAGCCAGCAGGTTTGAACCCAGAGCCTTCTTTTGGAGTTAATTATATACATTTTTTATATAAGATAATAATGAGATAAAAGTTGTTGCATGGCTGCTACAATAGATATACATATTTGTGTATACATGTCCACATTTACTGAACATATACATATATATGCTCTCAAACATATGCATGTGGAGTACACAATAATAAAACAAACATTTTTAAATAGGTTAACTAAAGATACAAGATGTTAGTGTGGTGATGGTGAGAAAAGATCATTGATAATAGAAGATAATTGAGTGTATGTAAAGCATTTTTCCTCTGACTTCCACAAACTGGCAGATCTCCCTCTTAATCTTCACCTCATTTTACCTAGTGTGAAATATGAGATCTCTCTAATCAACAAGTGAAGTGTTTCATGGAGCTGCTGACAAGACTGAAGACTCAGGAGTCTAGAAACACAAATAAAGTCTGTCATGATGTGGCAATGCAGCTTTAAGTGTGACAGCAAACAGAGCAGAAAGTGCAGATGGTTTAATAGAAACTGTTTCAAATACATCCAACCAAAGAATGTGAAAAGAGTAAAACAAACAACATGAAGCAGCATATGGACAACACCTGTCACAAACGTTTTAATCTTTAACAACCTGACCTAACTCGGTATCAGACGTCCAGCAGAGAAAAAAGCGGAGTGAACCCAATGCAAACACTCATCCCAGACTTCATCTGCTATTTCAAGATATAAATCAACCTTCCATAACGTTTTAATAGTTTGAGATAAGATTTAAGGACCGGTTTGGAACAGATTGTTGGAAAAATAAAAATATGTCGGTGAAATACAAGTCTAAATGCTTTTACACTGTAAATATGTTGAGAGGAAAATATTCGATCGATTAAAGAGGTGTGGAATGACGGAGCATGAAGGCTAAACATTTCATCATAATTGTTTCCAAATCACACGTCTTGAATAGGGAGAGACTCGTGAGAGAGGCTCATGGGAGCGAGAGCTGACAGAAGGTCGTGTCTGAAGGAAGGTGATTCCATCATAATCCATGCTGGAGGAGAGTGAGAGTCCTCCAGATAAAGTCTAAACTGGATCACTCTTAAATTTTAGGCTGATAAATAAAATCTTAATTCTGGCAAGGCTAACCCACCTAGAGATTTTAGTCTGGAGAGACTAAAAGTCTTAGAGTCTTCTTAGTCCAGATTAATGCAGATACTAATTTGTCAGAGTTACAGAAAAAAAGGATTGCAGAAGAAAAATTAGTAAACACTGAAACTGAATCCTGGCTGCTGCAGATAAAATTAATAAAGACCCGCAGTTAAAATCATTGTGTGTCTTAGCAACTAATGGAAGGAGTTTAATGATTTGAAAAGGCGATAAAGGATTTACCAGCCTGATCTGGTCTGTGTACATCAGTCCAAAGATTTGGAACCTCATCACGTTGTATTTGTAATCTACATTTGAACGGTTGGTAAGGACATGTGTAACAACCCCCGATATATGTGATTAAAAGGTCAGTGATGTATCTTGGTGTCAAACTTGTGCTGTGTTATTGTCTGGTATATTTGAACCCAGAGGTCTTACGTGTATTCGGACGTGTGGGAGGTTGCTGAGGTTTGATCATCGTGTCTCTGTTGTACACAGGCTCGTCAGAACTTTGGCGTGGTGGAGCTGGACGGTCTGATCTTTGTTCTCGGAGGAGAGAACGATGTGACGGAGCTGATTACTATGGAAGTGTTTGACCCTCACTTCAACACCTGGAAGATGCAGACCAGTATGACCATGATCCGCAAGGTACAGCATACACTCTTATCAATGTTCACAGGAGAGTAGAACATGTGACAGAGTAGGTGACTGGGACTCAGTGTCACAACACAGGCAAACTTTAGGTCTCTACTTTATCCCCACATATTCAGTAGTTAAACACACAGGCTTTAACTTCTGCCTCTAGGGGTCTCTCAATCAAAACAGTAACAAAAGACAACACTGGGTGATGTCATGAAATAGTGTAGGATCATTGGGAGTTGTATTACCATAAGCGCCTCCCGGTTTGGATTCCTTCAGTGTCAGTGGTTCAGGAAATCAAACAGACTCGTTGATTCTAACCATTAAAAACACTGAATAAAGCAGTTTGACATGTAAAGTCATTGTTTGAGCGACGCTGTACGGAGGACAGAGACTCAGGGAAGAGCTGGAGCTGAGATTGATGCTAACCTTTGTTCTGATTGTTTCTCTGATAACTTATGAACCAGACGTTCAGCAGGTTTTTACCAGCAGCAGAATTATCCACAGAGGTGTCCTCCTCTCCACAACAAACACACCATGGGAGCTGAGCTGTCTAACACACTGAATAAAGCAGTTTCACTTAAAAAAAAAATCAGAGATTCACTGTCGCTCTTCAGTGACACAGGACAGGACGTCTCCAGCAGCTGGGAGCTGAGCTGTCTAACATTTACTTATCTTTTTTCTTTGATAACTTCAGATCCACGACCACGTCCAACAACTAAAATCCTTCATTTGGTTCAAATATATAGATGAAAATATATCTTAAAAATGTGGCTTAAAACTGGATAAAAGTCAGTGTTGATGTGCATAGGGAAATCATTGACAGGCGACCAGTGAAACGTTACCATGATTAAAATCACAGATTTCTCTGGTTTGAGAATTCATATTTTGGGATAATGTAAGAAGAAGTCTCATTCTAGTTGTTTTTAGACATTTTAATGTGGAAAAGTTACATATTATAATTTTAAGAACACTTTTAAGTAGAAAATCAAAGTAAAATTTGCTATATTTCACATCTGTAACAATAATTATTATAAATAGATCTGAAAATGTTTGATATACAGAGTGACATTAGTTTAGCAACGCAGGCTGTGTCAGAAACAACATGCTTCAGTCTCCAGACTGGTCGGGTGAAGGTGTAGCTAACCTCAACCTCATCACCGTGTTCACCTGCTACTAAACAAACTCTGAGATCTGCTTGGTTCTCAAGGAGCTGTAGGATTTATTTTCTCATACTGATCTCCACTGTTACATTCATGTCTTACTGCTAACCTGACATCCAGCACACCTGCCTTCTTCAGCTCACTCCTGTTGAGATATTAATTTAATTAATTACCAAGTATTTTCCTATAAAGCCGTTGTAAAACATAGGTACTGTAGAGTGTACTGTACTGTACACTCTACAGTTTAGCCCTGCCTGCAGAGGGGCTACATTTGTTCAGTCAGTCCAGCACTTTGGTCGCTTGTCCAGAGTGAGATGACTTGACAACTATTAGCTTGATTTCCATAAGATTTTCTTTGGATATTCACAATCCTTGGACGTTGAACTGTTGGACCCCTATCAGGCCAAAATTGTCATGCTCACAATACATAACAATTGACTTGAAAGGATAGACCACCATGTAATTCATGATCAAATTCAAGCTCTCCAGGGGATTAAGCCTTTCTATTATGGGCACTTTACATCAAATCTAGCTCCACACTTAAAGCTCCATATTTCCTTCTTCTGTTCTCCTTTTGGAATGTCATGGTTTTCTGAGTAAATTTGTCATAAAATGTGATCTGATCTTCATCTAAGTCAAGGGTATTGACAAATATAATGTGTCTTAAATAATACCACAAAAAAAATTGATCTTTCATGTCTTTATTGAGAATAACCAAAAAATCCTCATAGTGCTTGTGGAAGAAGTATGTGAACCCTTGAATTAATGACCTCAAAAAGCTAATTGGTGTCAGGTTTTAGCATACCTGGAGTCTCGTTAAGACAATGAGTTTGGGGGTGTGGACTAAAGCTACTTTGACTGATAAAAACCCCTCAAACTTTTGGAGTTTGTTTTGCAAAAGAAGAACACGTTTATGTGAGCCATGCCTCGCCAAAAAGAGCTTTCAGAGGATCTACGATCAAGAATTGTTGATTTACATAAAGCTGGCAAGGGTTACAAAGTGATTTCAAAGACTTTAGAAATTCACCAGTCTACAGTTAGGCAAACAATCTACAAATGGAGACACTTTGGGTCTGTTGCTACTCTACCAAGAAGTGGACGCCCAGTCAAAATGACACCAAGAGCACAACGAAGACTCATCAATGAGGTAAAGAAATAACCCTGAATGACCGCCAAAGATTTGAAGGCATCATTGGAACTGGCTAACAGGGCCTGGCCAGCTTGCAATCATTGAGGGGAAGATGAATTCCCAAGTTAATCAGAGAATTCTTCAGGATAATCTGAGAATGTCTGTACATCAGCTGAAACTCTCTAGAAAATGGGTGATGCAACAGGACAACGACCCAAAACACCGGAGCAAGTCCACAACAGAATGGTTCCAGAAAAACAAAATCCACCTTTTGGAGTGGCCAAGTCAGAGCCCAGACCTCAACCCAATAGAAATGCTATGGATTGACTTGAAGAGAGCCATACACATGAGACGTCCAAAGAATATGGCAGAGCTTAAGCAGTTCTGCCAAAAAGAATGGGCAAAAATTCCCCCTCAACGATGTGCAGTTCTGATCCAGAGCTACAGGAAGCGCCTGGTTGAGGTTATTGCTGCTAAGGGGGGGTCAACCAGTTATTAATTCTATGGGTTCACTTACTTTTTCCACTGCCATTTTGAATGTTGAATGAGTGTGTTCAATAAAGACATGAAAGATCAGATTTTTTCTTGTGTTATTATTTTAGACACATTATATTTGTCAATACCCTTGACTTAGATGAAGATCAGATCAGATTTTATGACAAATTTATTCAGAAAACCATGACATTCCAAAAGGTTCACATACTTTTTCTTGCCACTGTATGTTTGTAGTTTTAAGAACCAAAAACCATCTCAATGTAGTTTTACATCTCCTCTCTCAGGGGCTGTGGCTGAGAGCGGTGACTGCTTTGTTGTGACATCACAAAGTTCCAGAAGTCCTGACGGCTGGTTTTATGGCTCAGTTTCTGAATACAGGCTGTGTGCATTTCTCTGTGGACTGAGGCTTTGATACTTTCACAGTATTAATATAGAACCTAGACCTGCTTTATAATCAAATAACACATGGACATCTACCTTTATACTATATCAGACATTTAAGCTAGAAATGTCATCTTTGCTCAGTGGAGGTTTGATACTTTTATCTGTAGATTGACATGAAATTTGTGGAGCAGCTGCATCTTTACTAAGGGGAAACTGTTTTATATGAATATGTGAGAATAAAAAGATTCAAACTGTTCAAACTGGTGTTCAGAAAAAAGAAAATTGCTTGGGATTATTTTTACAATATTCATCAAACTTTTCAATTAAGTCAGCATTCACCATTCAGTTTATGAAGTGTAACAAAATAGTGAAAAAAGATATTACAATTTAGTCCAAGGTGACAAATAATTAGTTTTGTTTGACTGAAAGTGCAAAAAAACAAAGAGACTGAATTCAGAAACAGGCAATATTTGGCATGAATGATTAAGTCATTATTGAATAGTTTATGAGTGGGGAGGTGGCGGTTTAGAGTTGAAGACAAAGACCCTGCAGTGACCCCAGCGTAGGTTCAGCTGTGGGCCTTTGTTGCATGTCATCCTTCCTCTTTCCCCATTTCCCCTATTACTGTCAAAATAAAGGTAAAAAGTGCTTGAAAAAATATTTCACCAACATAAAATAGACTTTTCCTGTTCTTTGGTCTCGGACACCATACAGTTTGGTAAGACAGTGTTAACACACCTACCTAACACTGTAAGTGACGTGACCATGCAGAATGGGCCCAGGGCCATGACAACCCTTGTTCAGACAGAACTTAGACCAAATGATTCTTAAGTGAACCTCTTTCCACACGCTGTGGTTTACAGCTGTGTCCGTCTTCTCCTGCAGGTTGGCTGCTATGCCTCCATGAATAAGAAAATCTATGCCATAGGGGGAGGATCCTACGGGAAGCTGTTTGACTCTGTTGAAAGCTTTGACCCCAAAACCCAGCAGTGGACCGGCCTCTGTCCCCTGAAAGAGAGAAGGTAAATACAACTCTGATTGTGTGAGCAGGACAAATGAAATCCGCAAATGTACAAGTCGCTGTTTCTTTTTCTCATGATGACATGGTTCTCATGTTCTCATGTTACCTTTTCATCCTTTTTCTGTGAAACATGTACTTGTTTGTATTTCACAATAGGAAATGAGACATGGCTCACTTGTCATTGTCGCCCTCACAGAGCTGTCAGTTTTAGTTTCAGTTTGACACCACAGTCAAACTGACATTAAGCTACAACTGAGACTGTTGAGTCACAATATGTACATTTACCAGTCATAGAGGAACTTGTGACCTTAAGATTTGAATAAACATTCAACAGTCAGACATATCTCTTGACTGGTAGTGCCTCTTATGTTTAAGGGATCCGAGAGACACCATGGGAAAAAGGTTGAAATCAAGCTAATGTATTCACTGAATCTTTAAGGAGGTGTGTGACAAGCCTGGGAGAGCTTTTTGTCAGCACCATTTTCAACCCAAAAAACATCACTTCAAGGGGCTTTAGTCTTTTTCTTGGTTTTTGAATGAATTTATGTACAGTATCTGACCCTGTTTCTCTGTGTCATGCTGCTTTGTTTGTCCTGGATTAGTCAGTGCGCCTTGAAACGTTTGATCATGAGCAGACCAATCCCTTATCATGTCAATACTGACCTCTCTTCATTGTCAGTTTATCGCCCTTTGGGTCACGATTCTGTGACAGATTGATCTAGCCTACGAATTGAACAGCCCCTGTTTGAATGTTAATCTAATAGACTCAGATTTTTAATGTCATGAGATGGGTGTAGGCGATATGACAGTATGTAGAGTGTGGCAATGTACATTTTTAAACAGTCAGAGCTTTTGATATATCATTTATAGTGTGTTGTCTCTTTGATATCTGTGGTTGGATTAGATCATTGCGATTAAAGTATCTGGATTTGTCAGGAATAAAGTTTGTCAGATTAGCCAATCACAGTCACTCTATTCTGGCTATTTTATCTATAAACAGTTAATTGTCCAGAAAATGTATTCACTTGATTTATTCTCGTTTTGTATGTTTAATTCCATTATATGTTGATATGGCTATACAAAATAATGTATCAAGACACAAGATTTTATCCATATTACTCACTCTTATCTCTTAAATTTCCTGTTATGTTCCGGTCAGGTTTGGATCGGTGGCGTGCGGCGTCGGCCAGGAGCTCTACGTGTTTGGTGGAGTTAGAAGCCAAGAGCCAGACAACCCCGAGCAAAGGCAAATGACGACCTGCAAATCTGAGTTCTACCATGACGAGATGAGGAGGTGGGTGTGGAATTATTTTTCAAAGCAGTTTTTGAATTGCAACCTTTATATACTTTTATATTATATTAATATATTATTACTATTAGTCTGTGTTTTAATGTCCACACGTGGTTTAAATGTTGAGTCTCAGAGCTCAGTCTTGACCTTGGAGACGGAACTTGCGTAAACAGACTCACCACAGGGACCATTTAGGAGCTTCTGACCATATTGCATGATTGTCCATGAGCAGATGGATTTTCTTCAAGGCAAACATTTTCTCAACAATGGTGTCTGTCATTTTGCGTAGTTCTTATCAGGATGAGATAGGTTTGGTTTTAATTGGTTATTATAAAAAGGCTGTGATCAGTCAGAGTCAGATGGGTGTATGGGTGGGACCTCGATAACCTGGCTCCACCCCCGATCAGTACTGTGCACACTGTGGCTCCAAAAGACGTCGTCAGTGCAAGACATTCCTGTCTTATCATATTTTATAACATGAAAATCAAGATGTGGATCAAGAATATTGATATTTTTTTTTCCTGTCATTAATACCTTTACCTGTTTTGGCCTGATGTGTGCAGGTGGATGTTACTCGATGACCAAAACCTGTGTATCCAGACCAGCTCATCCTTCGTATACGGCGCTGTGCCCATCGGAGCCAGCGTCTATGTGGTGGGAGACCTGGACACAGGTGAGTAAAACAACAACAGAGCTCTGATGGCATCACAGGAACATCAGTATTTGAATACGTGAGGTTGGTGTTTCCTGTGCACACAGGTACGAGCTTCGACTACATCCGGGAGTTTCGCCGCAGCACTGGGACCTGGCATCGCACCAAGCCCATGTTATCCAGCGACCTCTCCAAAACAGCCTGCGCCGCCCTGCGCTTCGCCAACTGTCGGCTGTTCCGCCTTCAGCTGAGCCAGGGCATGTTCCGAATCCGAGTCTGACCGTCTGCTGCACACTCCTCCACTTTTTGCACACTGGTACTTTATGAACACTAAAGTATTATAATCACTAGATGTTGAGGATGGTGAAATGTCTGTTCAGGGGTTTATACTCAAGACCCCTTTTCTGTGTGACTTGACAAAACAAAAGTTCATCTAAACACATTTTTTAATTTTATGGGTTTTATTGCAATTTTATTAATCTAAATATTTTTTTCTTTTTAATGTGGGATTGGATCATTTTTAAAAAAAGATATATTTTATGGACATTCCTCATTTGTAATGTTTACTGGTGAAGTGTTGCTTGGTGAGGGATTTAAACTGTAAACAACACTTACTTACTTACACTTACTGCCACATTGAAACTTGAGGAATTATGATGCTTATTTTAGAGGAAACACTGTAACAGTGCTGCTGTGGTGCAGTCTGCATTTTAGGATTTATTATGTTGTTTGGTGTATTGTTCTGGCCAAATTTAAACGACATAAACGTTTGTCCAGATATTTGCTGAAGCTACATTCAGGAGAGACTCTTTCAGTGATATATAGAGAGATAGCAAGGGGACATTTGCAGCAGGTATATACTAGAGTGCAATGCAACCACAAGACAAGGCCCCTACACACTGGCTCTAGTAGAATATAGGTCACAAACAGTGTTAGACTGCACAATCAATGAGTGGTGAATCTTAGTGCTACAATGTTAATAGAAAAAAAAATTTGCAAAGAGTGAAACGTCGTCAACTCCCGTCATCGATCGGTTTTCTAGTTATGAAATGCAGCAAAACAAAAACACCAAGCTGTGGACATAGTGTGAGCACATTGGTGTCCATTGCGTCTGCCAGTGTGTTCTGCACTAATGTGTGTCATATTCTGATTGGTTGATTTGTAGACTCTGGCCTATACTAGAAGTCGCATTGGGAGAATTTGCTCCTAACTTTCCAACTCTGTCAGAATGTGTTTCAGCAGATAAAACCACCAGAAACAACATTTATTTACTTTCTAATGACAAATCCCTCCGGCAGCAGTAGAAGCTATGTCTGTCAGTTTTTATAGAGCCATAAAGTCCATAGAGAGAGGAGGAGGTCAGGGAGGATGATTGGGTCAACAAAATATCTGACTTTAACATGGGGGACTGTTGCTGTTTCCTACCAACATTCAACGTTAGATCGTTCCAACATCAACCAAGGACTTAATATTTTAACCATGACAATGGAAGTCCCCTATCTATCCCCTATAAACAGTGAGCTCCCTCTCAACCAAACCTTGAAGTGATAGTTCAGGTTATTTGACGTGAGGTTGTGTGAGGTAGTTATCTATAGTCAGTAGATTCAGACCAGCACACTGCCAGTTTAGAGGAGCAGCAGGAGCAGCGGTACAGAAGCTGAGTGATGAGCCTCTGTGGACGGGCTCAGCAGAAAAATGTGTTTTAGCCACTTAAAAAAAAAAAAAAAACCCACAGAAAAAAGCTTGTATCACTTTAAGTGAACACTTTATTTGGAATATTTTCACAACTTGCTGTCAAACAGTGCTTCAGCCCTTAACTTTATTTTTCAACCGTTGAAACTACCGTATTACGACGCACATGCGCAACTGTGCTTAGCTCTGTCTGATTCAAACAGCTGATCTATGTGTGTGCTGCAGACAAAGTGGTGAAAATATTCAAAATTAACTATTAAACTGATATTAGTTTTTTTGTGTTTGCATTTTTTCAATTGGCTAAAACATTTTTCTGCTAAACCAGTCCAGAGTAGCTCATCGCTCAGCTTCTCCTGCTGCTTCTCTAAACTGAGAGCTGCTCCAACTCCACTGCAGGTAATACACTGACTGTGGATAAGTACCTCATACAACCCCACGTCAGATAACCCGAACTATCACTTTAACTATCAGGTTAGAAAAGTTTTTGGAAGGTACATAAATGATGTTTTTCTGCTGATAGGAACATCAGATCAGAAAACACCTAGGTGTTTTTGTGGAGGGAAATTAAAAATGAGATATTGTTTAAATTGGAGGACTTGTTGACTGTCTCTGGTCACCAGAGCTCAAAATCTGCCTTCAATGGACAAAGTTTCACCATATTTTCTCACAATTGTCACTTCAGTCACAGACAGCACAAAATCACACAGTGTGTGAAGACCATGACTGAAACTGAAAGCTCTTTGTTCTTTTGATCTAGAGATTAAACACCTGAACTATGCAGTGAATTTGTCACAGACAGTGTAGAAACTCAAGTTGAGGAAAAATAGGTTCTGTACGTCGAAAAGTAAACCACAAAATAATCCCAGAATGCGAGAGAGACAGTTGATGAGACATAGTAAACCATTCATTGAGTAACTTGTATCTGCAGCTCCTGGTTCACTGGAAACACTCCTGGTCACATGACTTCCACATTTTCACTCACTAACCAAATGTTTGCACGTTGGAGCACCAGCGCCTTACTCGACTGTCAGTTGTTATCATTGTCCAAGCTGTCTGCGCTCAGCCTATTCAGAAATAGACGTCACTGCAAGTGACATTCTTTGAGTGGTTGGATGTGTCGCTGCCTCCGTGACCTCTGACCTGGCTTTCCAGTCAGTACAGTTTTGGCATCCCTTGACCCCATTTGTTCTGTGTGAGTTACAGCTGCTGCTGTCTGTCCTCAGCTCAGGGGTAGCACAGACAGAGTAGACACACACTGAGTGTTGATACAAACACACCTCTCATAATACCAGGGACGCCATAGACACACGTCAGAGACACTCGGTGTTGAAACTGACCAGTAAAGACCAAACAAAGTCTCTAAACTGTACAAGTCCATGTTCTTGCTAGAATGGATAGGTAATGTGACAATCATGTGACACAAAAACATGAGATAATCATATAGATTTTAATCAAATACTGTATCTTCATGTACATCATGACTATAATAATCATGTAAGAAAACGCTTTTAAATATTTAAACACACAACTTTGGATCCAAATTCAAACAAACACCTCCAAAATTCAAAACACAGGACATCATCTTGTTGCAAGGTTTGACAGTCAAACTCAATATTAACTGTTACATTGTGAGTTTAGAGAGGAGAAGGAAAGTTGTTACGAACTAGTCATGTTAGGACCTACAATAGACTGTTCACTCGAAATGGAGAAAGTACCGTATGCTGACGCTCGTGAACAAGCTAACATTACCTGATCTGTAAATCAAAGATCATTTTTGATTACCTCTGTTATATTTTGATGTTTACTAAAGTGAAGTGACTCTAATCACATATGAAAACTTGTATCTTGCTAAAAAATTCAGATGAAGTCAAGTCCTGAACAGTTAAAGTTAACCTGTGGAGTTTTTTCCACCAGAACAGCCATGGAGGAATGTTTGTACAAATGGATCCCTGGTTTGTTTGTCCCAACGCCAGTTTTGTTAACATACAAAGAGGTGTAGCAATGCTCCCGTAAAGGCAGGAAAGAAGTGAGAGTAGCATAAAATCACATGTAATTGCTCATTAAACTGTATAGCTCAGACCCAAGCTGAGTTAGTTGCATCAAAAATGTATACAAATGTAGTCTGTGTTTAGCAAATGTGCTCTCTGTATTAATGTAGAAAGAATTTTTCCTCTGACTCTTCTCTCATCAGTCTCCACCATTTTTCTGACTGTCCCTGTCGACGCTATGAACTTTAACACAGCCGGTGCAGCAGGCTGCAGGTCTTATAATACAGGACTAACATTAGGCAACAGCTGAATTTAAGTTCTTCATTTTTCTGCTCTAAATGTTTGTTAACAAACAAAGTTAAAGGTCACCACTGGTCAGTGTCAAACCACAGTTACAGTATACACACAAGAACAGTTCTCATACAGTATATTCACATGAGGATCTCCTAGAGCTCTCCATCACTCTCTGAACACTAGAAAGCAGCAGGACCAATATACTGAGGCCTGACTGTGAATATTGTGCTTTCATATTTCTGCAGACACTCTACATTCCATAGTGTCTAATCATTTACAGTAAATACTACAGTAAGTTTCCAAGCTGCTCTGTATCCTAAACATCGCTTGTTCTCACATGTTAACACCTTATGACTGTGTTCTGATACACTGGACGACATGATAAGGGAAAATAACAGCAGTCTGAACTGAAGCAGGCAAGTTTTAACCAAAGTTGTGTTGTGAAAGACGGGGAGTGAAACTGTTGTTTCAGTTTGTACTTTTGTAACTGATGCATGAGGAAGTTTTGTAAGATGTTGCCCGTGAGTGTCATACATTTACGTCAAAGGAATTAAAACACCAAAATGTTCGACTATGTCCCCTTTGTTTCTATTTTTTCTTTGGATGCTACCAAACACAAAGTGCTGATGCTTCATTTCATTATTCAGAGAGCTGGTAAAAATGATTCAGATAAACTCCTCCCTTAGACCTTGACCAATGACTCAGGCAAAGATTTAATTCAAATATGATCTGTTATTCTTTTACTTTCCATTTGATACACATTTGATGATGCACAAAGAAACACTGAACGACTTTTCAATCCTAGGTGGTTAATGCTCTAAATTAATTCTAAATAAATGTTTTTTACATTGTTTAATTTGATAACATTGTTAGGAGCTACATCCAAAGTAAGAAGTCAAGCAGTTGTGTTTCTGTTGCTTCAGTTTCTTTGGCTGATATTAGGAATGAAGACAATAACACAGATGATCTCACTGTTCTTAAAGTCTCACGGTAGTGGGGCTAAAGAAGTTGTACCTGATTGTGGCACTAGAGTAATAAGCATGAGAGCTACTTTGACAAAATCAAAGGGGCTGAGAGCTCCTCGTGTCTGATATTACTGGTTACATTTATTCACATATTGTATCAAAACACTAAAACTGATCTCCAAAACAAATCAGATGAATAGGATCATCTAGCAAATCATTATTTTGATGATTTGATTTTTGATTAATTTATTTGCACACACCTACAAATACATTGTACATAGTGTTTTATTATGAATGATGTGCAGGTGAGGTAAGAAACTGATTAAGGGTTTATGTTAAACCTCACCTCAACTTAAAAAAAATGTAGATCATACAAAATGAGGAAAAAAATTAAGTATAATGATAAAAACATAAAAAATTAAATTGAAACAAGTCAAAAGAAACATCAAAGACAACACAATATATGCAGTGGAAGGGATACAAATATGTAAATGAGTCCATCAATCCGAAATACAAAGAAAATAATAAAACAACAAAAACACAATTCGTTCACCCTGATTCCCATCATCAAATGTCAATATTGTACTCTTGTACTCATTTTGTACCCAAAACATCTGAAACTCACATCAGTGTCACTTTCTGTGTTAAAAATCTGATTCAGTCAGACATTGACACACAGACCTGATAACAATACTGCAAATCAACCTCCATAAATCTGATTAGAAATCAGAGAAGAAGAAGCTCCTCAGTCAGTGATCAGCGATAGTTGACAGTTCATCAGTGGTTCATAACAAATCAGAAACTTAGAATAGATCATTCACTACACTTTATTTTCCAAAATATAAACAAACATGGGCTAAAAAAAATGTGACTCAAGCTGAGGCCCACAGCTTAACTCATTGTATCCATGGCAACATATTTCCTGTTTGTTGGAAAAGTTTAGTTTATATCTGTTCTGTTATCAGAAGAGTTTCTGTAACTGCATGTCAGATACGACATATCTGATGTAAACAAACTCATTTGACTGAAAACTGAAAACAAATAATTATTTTTATATGTATACATTGAAAATCTAATTTATTATTTACATAAACCTGGAAATAATCCGAAAATTCTGTAAATTTGGGACATTGACAAACTCAGCGTCTTTGTAAAGATCAGATTTCCTTGAGTTCATGTAGCTCAGCCAGTTTTCACCTGTTATATTATAAGACTGGGCCTCGGGTTCTCGGCAGATCACTGCTCACTAAGTAGCATTGTGATGGTGGGAAAAATAAGTGAAAGTGTCAGAAGTCAAATAGTTCTTCTGAGCAGAGAGGAGCTTTCTCAGTGTTAAATCATGTCAGGACCAAAGGTCTCTAAGAGGGCAGGGCATCGAACTCTAAAACACTTCACAGGAACTGGATCAGCTGCATCCAACACCATCACTGACCACACAACAACTGACCACACAACAACTGACCACACCATCACTGACCACACAACAACTGACCACACAGCAACTGACCACACAACAACTGACCACACCATCACCGACCACACAACAACTGACCACACCATCACTGACCACACGGCAACTGACCACACAACAACTGACCACACAGCAACTGACCACACCATCACTGACCACACGGCAACTGACCACACAACAACTGACCACACACCAACTGGCCACACACCAACTGACAACACCATCACTGACCACACCATCACTGACCACACCATCACTGACCAAACAGCAACTGACCACACACC